GGCCATCTCGACATGGGCACGACGCGCCATCACACACACGTTTGTTTGTTTGTGTGTGTGTGTGTGTGTGCGCGTGTGTATGTTGTTTTAGCGTGTATGCATGTGTGGTGTGAAGTGACTTTTATCTATCTTTACATATATACAAAAACCTCTCTCCCTCTCTCTCTCTCTCTCTCTCTCTCTCTCTCTCTCTCACTCTCTCCCTCTCTCTCTCTTTCTTGACTACTCTCGCCTCTATGTGTGTATATATAATAATATGTCGTATGTGTTTGTGTGTGTTTTCAAGCGATCGGCAGATGGCGCAATTCTTGCTTCCTTTGCACAATCTTAAGATCGTGCAGCTCTATTCATTTTCGGAAATAATCCGTAGATGGCGCGCTTTCTGTGGATCGTCATATGGTTCTGCGTCATCTTAAGATCGCGCTGATCGGCAAATGGCGCTTGACATATACATTAATGCATGAGAATGTGGGGTGGGTGGGGCGGGTGGTTGGGGTTAGGGGGGTCTCCCCCCTGACAAAATTGTAATGAATAGATCTACCGGTCTGAGATTCACCATTGAGAGATATATTAAAAACTGGGGAAAATCATGAATTCTTAAGGTTGAGACATAGGCAACTTAGTCAGTCCGCTGGTCATGAATCCTTCAATCTTACCATTTTATCTTGAAGGTAGAATCTAGTAAGGCCACCTCTATTCTCACCCCAGGTGAGTCTTTTGGCTATTCTCACCCAGTGGGCATTCACCGTTATAGACTAGGCCAACCAGTGAAGCGTTCACCCTGAACCACAGAATTTTACACTGATTTAAATAACAGAATTGTAGAATTCTGTGCCGTGAACAAACTTTCTAGATCTAGATCTAGAATCTATTACTACTGTTTGTGTTAGCCTAAAAGCGTGCAATTTTGTCTGTGGGCAGTGGAGAGAGAGAAAGAGAGAGAGAGAGGAGTAGTGCGAGAACTTCCGGGCAAAACAAAATGGCGACCCGCGTAGTTCGGCTCAATTCGGAAAGTTAAATAGCCGTAGCATCTTTGTAGGCGACCAAATTAATTTAGTTTTGTTTTTTAACATCGTTTTTAAACTTTGTTTTGGTCAATTTGATCGTCCACACCGATAGACAGTATTCAGAAAGAGACACAGAGAGAGAGAGAGAGAGGGGAGGAGTAGATCTTGCGAGAACTTTCGGGCAAAACAAAATGGCGACCCCGTAGTTCGGCTCGATTCGAAAAGTGAAATAGCCATAGCATCTTTGAAGACGATCAAATTAGCTTACTTTTGTGCTATAAAGTAATTTTTTCTTGGCTTTTATCAATTTGATCATCCACACCGATAGACAGTATTCCGAAATGAGGAAAAACAGGTCTTGTTTCACACCTGGTGACTGGTGAGAATAGCCTACGCTGGCAAGTCTCACCCGGGGTGAGAGGTAGATCGTATTTTTATTCTCACCCCTGGTGAGGATAGCCACTTCCATCTGGATCTAGTAACATACCGGCTTTAGGCCTTCCTTAATGATTTCGATGGCCATTGAGTATAATATAGATTTCAGAGTGGTCGCTCGTTACTGAAGTTTCCCCCGGAATCAAACGCGAGAAAGTAAACGGCGATTGTCAAGATTTCCGCGTTTAATTCCGATGTGCGCTTTTCAAAGCCTAAGGTATGTTGTTTCGCTTTGGTGCATTTGGAGTTAGGGTTAGGGTTAGGGTTAGGGTCAGGGTTTGGGCTAGTGTTTAGGGTTAGGGTTAGGGTTGAAGAGTTAGGGTTAGGGTTAGGGACCAAAGCGAAACATAACTTAGGCTTTGAAAAGTGCACATCGGAATTAAACGCGGAAATCTTGACAATCGCCAAGTAAACAATTGCCATAAAAACTTGTTCTTCTTCATAGATCTAGAAATCTAGGCGCTTTTTCGGTAGTTCTCACCCCCCTTATTTGATAGAGCCTGACTCTGACCTACATCTAGATCTATATATGTTTGATTCGCGGCAAGCTAAGATGTCAAACCTAACAACTGCAAAACATTAAATTGTGGTAAAATTCAGGGGGGGCATGCCCCC